AAAAAAAAAAAAAAAAGGCAAAAAACAAGTTAACTCAACACTTCAGCTAGCTCAGTCTAAAAATAAAATGCTGGCCCCGGTCCAAGGTCACAGCAAAAAGTCTGCAGCTGCATTCATATCTTATCTAACCCTAGCCAGCCATAAAAAACCAACAAACTAAGCTAAGCAAAACTGCAAAAACAAGCAAAACAGAAAAAGCCAACAAAAAAAAAACAACAAAATTTTGCATCCCTAAAGTCGGTGTGTTTTAAAAAAACTTAAAAGGCCACAAAAAGCCGGTTTAAACTAGCACAAAAAGCACCAAAAGCAAAGGTCCCTAAACAAAACACCCCCCAAAAACCCCAAAACTTAAAAACCCTCCCAAAAACCAAAGCAAGTCAAAAATCCACAGCAAACCCTAAACAACCTGTGCACAAAACAAAAACTCCCATCCACCCCTCCCCCTCTTAAGTTACACCTAGGCTTGGCCAGCCTCGGTTAGTGCGGGTGTAAATATAAAAGTGGGTTAGGGCTTGGGGCACTAACTTTCTTCCTTCCTCTAAATAACGGAAAAAAACCCAGCACTCTCCGCTGTTATTTTATTATTTTATTAATAAAGCTTTAAAACTTAAACACTTGGTGTGCTCCGTCATCTCCTCCCCTAAAAATCCTGCGACCTCAGCCTAATTACCTAACGCCCCGAGCAAATTGGTAACATAAATCTGTCATAACAGCCTGTAACTTTTTTACCATCTAATTTTATTGTCTTCTCGTTGTGCCTCTTAATGAAGCATCACACATATTCTATCTTTCATCAACTGATTCAGAAGCCATTTTCTTCTAATGCAGCCTCTTATAGTTCTAGATTCTTTTCTAATTCATACTCATCGTAATGGTGCAATATAATGTTATTGGCGAAAAGCATGCTCCATGGAGCATCTCCCCTAGTCTCCCGCATCAAGATGTGAGACAGAGGCCCTTTGGTTCCAGCTGGCAAAGGGTTCCCTATTCTGTGTCAGCAACTCCTATCAAGGTTGACAAACTCACTACACCTACTGCTGTCATAGTATCTATCCATAGAGTGTCATGTAAGATCTTAAATGAAAGCCAGGATCATGCTGGCCATGAATGTAATTGTGGAATGCACATATTGATCATATTTAAAAAGTTATGTCTGTATACTGAATATATCCTTATATTTTGTATCAAGTTGATATTCCCCAGCAGAGGTGAGAAACTGATAAACATCTCTGGTCTGGCAGGAAATCAATCTGTCTGTTGAACTGCAAATTGAGCATTGTTTCATTCACAATCACCAACCTGAGCTAAATGCAGATTTAACAAGAAGAAGAGAACAGTAGGGGGGAACGACTTGTTTGGGGGTGCACCTCAAAGGTTTACTGGGACTATAACCTGGGGACATGGATAACACCCTGTCATCCTGCACTGAAGGAATTAGTTGGGCAGCACAATTATATTCATGAAAATGGGATCCTAAGTTGACCTGTTGGAAATACTGGAAGGAAAACACGACTACCCCTCTGATGCTTTAGACAAGGAATTTAACCTGTCAAAGTTAAGTTTAGCCTCTAAGATGCAAGTTATACTTTTCTTTTGTTTTATATCTAATCATTTCTGTTTCCATTATCGTTACTCACTATCTCTTACATCTTAATCTTTGATGATAAATTTATGATTGTTTCACTATAACTATATCTCCATGCTGTGGTGGTATAAAGGATATGATCCTGAGTTGTATCAATGAAGCTGTGTGTGTACTGTTTCCTTGAGAATAGCAGACCTGCTAATTACTGTGAGTGTTCAGTGACAGGGGCTGGACACTAGTGGGGTACACTTCAGAGGAGCTCAGGGACTGGAATACACCAAGTGTTACACTGCAAGGCAAAGTAAGGACTGGCAGAGCCCTGTTGAGATTGTATGTGTGAGTAAAAGACTGGGGATTGGAGATTGTGTGTGTGAGTAAAAGACTGGGGATGTCAGGGAGCTGACACTTAATTTAGCACCAGCAAGTCTCTCTCTAGCTGAGGCAGTGGGGGTAACATGATGATTCAGTTTTGGGCACCTCGAGAAAGTGTCACATGGTGTCCATAGGTCCATCAGCCCTCACAGAGAGCACCGATCACAACATGTCATTCGTGTTGTTCTAGCCAGTCCTTCAGTCACCTGCTGGCGAGGCTGTTAGTGGCACTGGACACCTGATCGGCAAAGCGCACCGCAACCCAGAATCCCTGAGCAATCCGCCAGCTTCAGCCTCCCAAGTAGCTAGGATTACAGGTGTGCCACCGCGCCCAACCCCAAGATGTCCATTACAGACACAAAGAGGAAAGGGCTTAAGGCTGATCTTTGATGTAGACTTACCCTCACTGTAGCCACAGCTGCATCCTAACAGGTCCATGATCATCTGAAAATATATCTGTAGCAGACTGTGTGACTGTAGGCACCAACCTAACAATTCTTTAGGCACTCTGTCCTAACTCTTCTCAAAATCCACAAACACTAAGTGCAATTCTCTGCATTTCTCCCTGTTCTTCTGCAATATTTGGGCTGCAAACACTGCATCCATTGCTGGCCTTCCTGGTATAAACCCAAATTGGTTGTCGCTTATATGAGCTTGAGCTCCTCACAAACTATTTTCTCGATAATTCCTTCCATCCATTTCATCATGTGACTCATTAATTTGATCGGGCTGTAATTACTACATTCTTGCACATCTCTTTTATGCTTGAAAATAGAGACTGATGTGCTCTTCTTCCACTCATTGGGCATTTTTCTGATACTGAGAATTAAGCTGAAAAAATTCATCATCATAACCACTTCTTCATGGCCTAATACTTTAAATGCCTCTGTTGGTACACAGTCTGGTCCCGCTGCCCTCCTGCATTTCATCATCTTTAGTGCTGTCTGGATCGCCACCATGATGATAGGTTTTGTGAGGTTGTTTGTGCATACTGTCCTCAACAGTTTCTTCACGTTCTCTTCATTGAGTAGTTTCCTATAAAACTGCTGCCAACTTCTAATGATTTCACTGTCTTCCACCAGTACTCTTCCATTTTCATCTTTGACACACTTCTACAGCTCCCAAGTCTTCTATGTTTCTTTGCCTAATCTTGGCTAATCTATATATTCCCTTTCCCCTTCCTTTGTTAGAAGTCCTGTGTCTTGCATCTGAGGCTTTAAATGCTTGATGCTTAGCTTCTGCAACCATTCTTTTTACTGTTTTCTTGTATCCCTCATAACTTTGTTCCATTCTGACTTTCTGCCATTGCTTAAGCCTTTCCTTCTTCTTTGCTGCCACCTGCACATCACTAGACCACCACCACCATCACCACGTCTCCTTGCCATACAATTTCCCTCTTTTTGTTTGGCCACAAGCAGCTTGTGCACTTTCTGTGATATCTTTGGCTATTTCCCCCAACATCTTATTAGTATCATTGTGGTAGGTTTGGTCATAGTCCAATCTCTGTGGAAACTCATCCTTAAATCTCAGACTAACTTCCCATCCATAAGCCTCCATCAGTTTATCCTTTGTTCCTCAACTCATATTTTGTCCCCCACTAGTCTTTTCACCCCGAGGTCCATTACAAGCTCCTCAATTTGCTCTCCCAGGATCACTTTACAGTCTCTCATGTTTTTTTAAATCTCTTCTTCTTGTCAGGATGTAATCGATCTGGGACCTGCTGGCACCAAGCTTGTATGTAATTAAGTGCCCCTTCCTCTTTACAAAGTATATATTGGCAACCATAGGTGCTGACTCCGTGGCTGCTCCAGGGCTGGAGCACGCACGGGGAAAAACTGGTAGGTGCTGAGCACCCACTGGCAGCCCCCCTATCAACCTCCCCCTCCATCTCCCAGCGCCTTCCTCCCGCCGGTGGGCCCCACCAATCAGCACCTTCCCCTCTCTTCCTGCACCTCCCTTCCACCACGATCAGCTGTTTCGTGGCATGCAGGAGACTCTAGGGGGGAGAGGGCATGGGCGAGGATGCAGCGCACTCGGGGGAGGGCGCGGAATGGGACAGGAAGAGGTGGAGTGTGGGCGGGAAGAGGTGGAGCAGGGTTGGGGATTTGGGGGAAGGGGTGGAGTCGGGGTGGGGCCTAGGGCAGAGCCGGGGGTCGAGCACCCCCAAGGACATTGGAAAGATGGTGCCTGTGTTGACAACAATCAGGCCATGGGCTCTGGCTACCTTTAATATATCCTCTCCAGCTTCAGTTCTGGTTCCAAAGCCTCATCCTCCATGACAATTGTAGCCGTCACTGCATTCTCCCACATGTTCATTCAGATCCGCTCCAATAATCAAGTACTCAGCTTATGGTACTTCACTTATCACTTGATCTAGCACTACCTGGAATTCTTCCTTCTCTGAATTGTACAACCAACCTGTGGTACATATCCACATATAACATTAAATATTTGTTCTCTGCTCACTGCTATTCTAACTTTCATCAGCGGGTCACTCTTCTTTAGAATGTCTAGGTACCGTATCCTGTAATATTTCTGCTACCATTATCCCCACTCCATTCCTCTTAGCTACTGATTCATGATATACTATCTTGTAACCCTCACTGATGTTCATGGATTTCAACCCCTTCCATTTTGTCTCCTGTATTCAGGCAATATGCACTCTCTATTTCAACATCTTGATTACTTCTCTTGATTTCCCGGTTACAGAAATAGTATGGAAAGGAAAAGGAAGCAAATGCTATGCTATAACTGTAGTTCCACTGACTTGGCATTCAATGGTTGAATATAACAAGTGTGACCTACATGTCAGTGAGCTAGAAGTGGTCTACAATGGGAAAAGCAACTAATGGGCGGGTGTTACAATAAAATACCCACAGCTGCACTTGAATCATCCCCATTGCCAACTGCTTCTTCCTGGTGCAGTGGGGTTCACAGCACCCCAGTGTGAATTTACCCTACCTCACTTTGGAAAATAGGGTCAAAACAAGAGTTCATGAAAGACTACAAAGGTGTAAAATAGCAGGAAGGTTATTCCGACTTCACTGTCAGTAACATATTGATAGCTGCTTTTGCTGACATTTATTTTTATACCGGATAAGAGTAATGAGTGGGCTTTTAATGTATTTTGTTACAAAAGGACTACTAACTTTGGTTCCTTGATAACTGAATATGCAGAATAACCTTGCCATATTGGTCCATTTTTTCTTTTCTCATATACGGTTCACTAGCTAACATATTAATTATCATCACTGTCTTTTTCTGAGAAATCATAAATTTATATTGCTAAAACATCTTCATCTTCAGGGGGGTCTGAGCACCAGAAATGAAATGTGCCTGTCTTACCTACTGTACTACCCGAGAATCAATCTTACCCGATGTGCAAGTATTCCAGACATAATGGAGCAACTCCAGTTTATTGGAGTGAAGGAAATATATAGACCAGTCAGGTAAGTAGGGGAAATATAACAGGGTGTGCACCTTGTATTCATTCATTAATTCATTTTTGTCTGTGGGATTATTGCACACACACATCATATGATTTTTTAACCCCTTGTAATAACATAGTATATTGTCTCATCTAGCATCACTGGCACTACTTGAATTAAACGCAAGAAATGCTAGTAAGTGTTTCCAGCATCTGATGTCTCATAATTGTTGCACTTCTTCTAAGGTATGTTTACAGTAGAAAAAATGACACATTGCTGACCATGCTTGTCAGTCATGAGGCACCTCCTCCACTGGTATTGAAAAAGGTTTGATGGGTAGTATAGACAGAACAAAATCATTTTCACTGTCATTACAAAAAGCCTAATGGAACCATGTTACACTTAATTCAGTAGTAAGATCAGTTATCGCTATCAGGTAAAATGTTTTCAACACTAGCTGAGAAGGGGTTGAGGGTCACCTTTTTCTGACAAACATTAAAACACAGGTCATTTTCACGGTGTTTAGGGGCCCTAGTGTTAGGCATTGGGGATCTGATTGTCCTCTTATTAAATCAGAAGACAAGTTAAACTGAAGTCAGTTGAGTTACAGAGGAGAATCAGGCCCTAGAACTGCTGCTGGCATCCAAAAGCTAAGAACAATTTGGAAATAATGACAAGAAAGGGTGATAATAGAAAAGGTAATAAGGTAGAAAGGGTAGTACATAGCAGGGGACAAAATGGAGATGGAAAGAGATGTGGAGAGAAGGTAGAGACTCAGGAGGGCAGGACAGTAGCAAGTACACCTCTACCCCAATATAACGCGACCCGATATAACACGAATTCGGATATAAAGCAGTGCTCCGGTGGGGCGGGGCTGCGCACTCTGGCGGATCAAAGCAAGTTCGATATAACGGGGTTTCACCTATAACGCGGTAAGATTTTTTGGCGCCCGAGGACAGTGTTATATCGAGGTAGAGGTGTAGTAAGAGGAAGTGCAGGGGAAGTAGTGATGAAAAGGGTAGAGAAAAAGAGATCAGAGACAGCAGGAAGAGAATGAAACAAAATAGCACACAGGAGAGGTAGAAACAAAAAAAGCAACATTTTTTTTTATCCCAGTAGAGAAAGTGCCTCTTGAGATAGACAGCCAAGTGGCACTGTCTCTAGAACAGCCCACTCAGGTATTAGGAAGTTTAGGAGCAAAAGGAGGAGACAAATCAAGTGACGTAAGACAAAATATTGCTTCCAAGAATCTTGCCTTTTGTCACTGGTGTGTATTGTTCCACTTCAAACCATTTCTGAAATGAAACTTGCTTGGGTGTGCACTGCATATACTGTGCCTTGATTTACCAAAAGGAACACTTAGAGTTGCAAAGCAAAAATGTTTGTAGGGAAAAAATAGAGATTAAAAAAAAAAAGAAAAAAAAGAAAAGGTTATTTTTGGCAAGTTGCCAATAACGTTTTCCCTAAGAAACAATTTGTTACTGTTATGCTGTTATGAACACCACCACATTGAAGCTGCTGGAAGTAGTAGCTGCCTTCAATTCAGGCTAAATAAGGGAACAACTAAATGCCCCTTTGTTTAGTGACATTTGAAACAATGGAAAATCATCACCCAAGATCTAGACTGCATGCAAACCTGGGCAGTGGCTGAACCATGCAGTGCAGGGAGTTAAGACGAGGAAACAGCAAGAACAACCACTGGGAATATAGCCCTGAGACAAAGCCTAGAGAGAGAGCTTTTTGGCTGAAAGAGGCTTGTAACAGTGAGCAACGAAACTGTTTCCTGATGTTTGATTCCTACTGTGTTCAGGGAAACAGGCCTCTGCATATATTCTTTGTAAATAAACAAGGATTGAACCAAAGAAATACCTGACATGAACTGAAATCAGTCTCTCCTCCTAACAGAAACAACTTGCAAGGCCCTAAATATTGGCTACCTGCTCAGTGGGTTCTAACCACTTTGGTGCTCTACAGATATTCAGCATAAAAGTGTCACCCTTTTAGCAACTAAGGATCTCTGTCAAACATCCTGACATTCCACGGAATACTCAGCTGGAATGTGGGTGTGGGGTAAACCACCTGACCCATGAATTTGCAGTGGGTGTGGCACTCATAAGGTTAAATGATGTATTGTGGATTGGCCATTAAGATGGCAGGGCCCTTACTGGCTTCACTATGACTGTATCAGAGAAAGCAAAAGTTTCACAACATATTGTTAGTTTTGGGAAGAAATTCTCTATAAACAGCCTTTCATCATCATGACTAAGCTTCTACATTACTTTTAAATTGAAATAAAAATAGCTATTTTTAAAAATCCCATTGGACCTGACTCCTACAGCTTTTGATTTCAATGGGACAACTTGCAAGATAAAGCATTGTTCTCTAGGAGTAAGGTAGAATTGGGCAGAAATTAAAGTTATAATGTTTTCCAGCACAATACAACATTTAGGTTTTGGTAATTAAAAGAAGAGGGAAGGAAGGTTCCTAGAAATACTATGAATAGATTTTTTTAAAAATTAATAAACAGGTTTTTTTAACATTTAAACGTTCCTTGTGGTGTTGTGAATCCGAAAAGCAAAATTGAAGGTCAGAAATTGAAAGTGATTATAAACCAAAAGTGAAAATGGTCCAGTCTAGTTACACTGCCCAAGTTGAGTGAACTATAGAAAAGTAAACAAATAATGAAATGGTGAAAAATAAATTACCATTATTAAAAAATAGTTCCAATAACCTAAGATACAGGTAAGGATTTTAAAATATGATTAATAACCTAACAGTCAAGTATCAGAGGGGTAGCCATGTTAGTCTGGATCTGTAAAAAGCAACAAAGAGTCCTGTGGCACCTTATAGACTAACAGAAAAAGATAACGAGGTTAGTTCAATCAGGGAGGGTGAGGCCCTCTTCTAGCAGTTGAGGTGTGAACACCAAGGGAGGAGAAACTGCGTTTGTAGTTGGCTAGCCATTCAGTCTTTGTTTAATCCTGAGTTGATGGTGTCAAATTTGCAAATGAACTGAAGCTCAGCAGTTTCTCGTTGAAGTCTGGTCCTGAAGTTTTTTTGCTGCAGGATGGCTACCTTAAAATCTGCCATTGTGTGGCCAGGAAGGTTGAAATGTTCTCCTACAGGTTTTTGTATATTGCCATTCCTAATATCTGCCTTGTGTCCATTTATTCTTTTACATAGGGACTGTCCAGTTTGGCCGATGTACATAGCAGAGGGGCATTGCTGGCACATGATGGCGTACATAACATTGGTGGATGTGCAGGTGAATGAACCGGTGATGTTGTAGCTGATCTGGTTAGGTCCTGTGATGGTGTCATTGGTGTAGATATGTGGGCAGAGTTGACATCGAGGTTTGTTGCATGGATTGGTTCCTGAGTTAAAGTTGTTATGGTGCGTTGCATGGTTGCTGGTGAGAATATGCTTAAGGTTGGCGGGTTGTCTGTGGGCGAGGACTGGCCTGCCTCCCAAGGTCTGTGAAAGTGAGGGATCATTGTCCAGGATGGGTTGTAGATCACTGATGATGAGTTGGAGAGGTTTAAGCTGAAGACTGCAGGTGATGGCCAGTGGAGTTCTGTTGGTTTGTTTCTTGGGCTTGTCTTGCAGCAGGAGGCTTCTGGGTATACGTCTGGCTCTGTTGATTTGTTTCCTTATTTCCTCATGCGGGTATCGTAGTTTTGAGAATGCTTGGTGAAGATCTTGTAGGTGTTGGTCTCTGTCTGAGGGGTTGGAGCAGATGCAGTTGTACCTCAGTGCTTGGCTGTAGACGATGGATCATGTGGTGTGTCTGGGATGGAAGCTGGAGGCATGAAGGTAGGCATAGTGGTCGGTGGGTTTTCGGTATGGTGTTAGGGTGGTGTTAACGTGACCGTCACTTATTTGTACTGTGGTGTCCAGGAAGTGGACCTCCCGTGTAGATTGGTCCAGGCTGAGGTTGATGGTGGGATGGAAGCTGTTGAAATCGTGGTGGAATTCTTCTAGAGTCTCCTTTCCATGGGTCTAGATGATGAAGATGTCATCAATGTAGCGTAGGCAGAGAAGGGGTGTGAGTGGACGAGAGCTGAGGAAGTGTTGTTCCAGGTCAGCCATAAAAATGTTGGCATATTGTGGGGCCATGCGGGTGCCCATAGCGGTGCCACTGGTCTGGAGGTATATATTGTCACCAAATTTGAAATAATTGTGTGTGAGGATAAAATCACAGAGCTCAGCAACCAGTTGTACTGTGTCATCATCAGGGATACTGCTCCTGACAGCTTGTATTCCATCTGTGTGTGGGATATTTGTGTAGAGAGCCTCCACATCCATGGTGGCTAGGATGGTGTTTTCTGGGAGGTCACCAATGCATTGTAGTTTTCTCAGGAAATCAGTGGTGTCACGGAGGTAGCTGGGAGTGCTGGTGGCGTAGGATCTGAGTAGAGAGTCCACATATCCGGATAGTCCTTCAGTGAGAGTGCCAATTCCAGAGATGATGGGGCGTCCAGGATTTCCAGGTTTGTGGATCTTGGGATATATAGATAGTAGATAGAATAACCCCGGTCGGGGCTCTAAAGGTGTGTTGATTTGTTCCTGTGTTAGTGTAGGGAGTGTCCTGAGTAGGTGGTGCATTTTCTTAGTATATTCCTTAGTGGTATCTGAGGAAAATGGCCTGTAGAATTTGGTACTGGAGAATGTCCTTTTAACTTTACATTTTAAAATTTGTGATCTCAGCATATATAAAGTATCCAGTAAACGCTCACAAAGGCTTTTAAGACTATTGTTCCAGAGAGCTTTGATGTACAAAATCACTGATCCCAGTTCTAAACTCTGTCAGATGCACAGGAATAAGAAGAACCTCACAGTACAATACCTGCTGCTGCTCTTATGCTGTCAGTATTCACAATCTCCCTTGACAGCTAAACAAACACATTTTCAAATTTAGTGCTAGCACAACCAGCTTTCTGATCTCATGAACAAAATATTCTAATAAATGAAGTGTTATCTTGAGTGGTCATTCATAATCACTGTTCTTAACAAGAAAATGT